TGTGTGTGCGTGTGTATGAGTGTGTGTGTGATTACCGTTGACGCCAACATGGAGCCTCCAAACCAGACCGCGTAACGCTGCATGTGATGTGTTACAACCTGAATCTCCATCGGCTTCGGCTGCAAATGAAAATAACCAGTGAGTCGATGAGTCCCAGTCTGTGATGAATCATCAGCAGAGTAAAGAGGAGACAAACATCGTATTCAAGCTCATGACTTAATGTGCTGAGGTGAACGACAACAGGGGACATCACCAGGGGAGGAGCAGAGATGACAAATGTGCCTGTCATCTCTGTCATCTGGACGGAGATGTTTGACAGAGATGTAGGTTTCATTTGTTTGACTTTAGTTTTGACAGTTTTTTACTTGAAGGATGAAACACCTGTTGTGTGTTCTAGTCTCTGACCTTTATCCGTCCTCCACTCAGCTCTTCACTCAGTCTCAGTCGGGCGTCAACCACCCTCTTCAGGTCTCTCTGCAGCCGCCGGCCAAAGTCTCTGAACATGGTGGATCCTCCGGACAACACGATGTTCTGACACAGGCACACTTTTGGTTCAAAACACCTGGGATTCAAATTGTTCTGTAGAGTGAGACATCTGACAACAACAACATATCTGTGGTACCTTGTAGAGCGGCCTCCTCACATCGATTGGACAACTCTGAATGACCTCATCCACGACATCAGAGATGGGCTGCTTGAAGTCTGGGTTAGCAAACTGCAAAACACACTTTATGAGTTTGTAAACCAGTTGTCTCCTTCCACATGATCAGCTCATTGATGATGTCACTTTTGACCTGTGGAGTTCCTCTGGGTTCTAGTCTCGGTCCTTTACATTTTCTGTTTTGTTTTTCTTGTAGTTTTTCTCTGAAAACACAGAGTTACCTCAGGATGGAAGAATATCTCTGGGCCCAGGAAGCGTTCATAGCCCACGTCGATGTGGAAGCCGGTCTGACTGACGGCATTTACTCCATGGAACTGTTTGATCCATTTCCCCGGGTCACAGTCGTACTTAGAGAACTCCTTCACAATGTCTGGACAGATGTAACAGTACCGCTCCTACACACAGACAAATGCACACACCTAGAGTTACTGCCCTGCGGGTGTATGCCTCTACCAACCACAAGTTTCAGTCAGCTTTGAGTCCACCTGAATATTTGTACCAAATTTGAAGAAATTCCATTCCAATATATTGCCTCTGGCCACTAGGGGTCACCAGCATGGAGGCAAAAAAATACAGTGAGACATATTTTGATTTCTGAGCATCTTTTTGTTAAATGAAGAAGAGTTGATGAAGATAAGCAGAGGAGGAGTTTACCTTAACTGCCTTGGCGGTCTCTAGCGACTGCTCCGGGGGAATCCCCACCTCTCTGTCTCTGAGCAGCTGTTGGATGAAAAAGGTAATGTCCCGCCCTGCGATGGGGATGTGTTTTATACAGCTGCCAATCACATAGCCTTCAGCCTGTCACAGACACAGCAACCAATCAGTGAGCAGAGAAGCTCAAAACAACAGCCAGTACATTTTACAATGATATCATGTCTGACCACAGGGATGGTGTGTGTGACTCCATCTCCACTGTCGATAACGACGCCGGTCAGAGTTCTTTGTCCGACCTGCCGGGATGTCCAGGATGCCGCTAACGCAAGCACTGCCTGACAGAAGGACACACTCTTTACACTGCCTGGAACCTCCTCAAGGACCTCAAGGTCCATTTCAAGGACCATTCTGAGATCTACCTGGAAAATGTTTCTTGTGACTATTATTCTGATCAACAACATGGGTCTCACCTGTACAGCGATGTAGAGTCCAGGTATGTTGAAGGTCTCAAACATGATCTCAGCCAGGTACTCTCTGTTCTCTGGAGTGTTGAGAGGAGGCTCTGTCTAAACACACACACAATAAGGATCTTAAAACCTTCTAAACCTACTCCAGGGCAGATACAACCTCCTCCAAACCCTCCCAACATCTGGAGCCTCCTCAAGGATGTCTCTAATTGGCAGGATGTCCCTGGAACCTGTTCAATCACCTGACTAGACTGCATCAAGGATCTCTAAACCCTCCTTATTAACAACCTCCTCCAGCACCCGTGGAACCTACAAGGAGAACCCCACACTGTCCTTAACAATCTACCCACCATGAGGAAACTGTGGTCCTCTGGTTCTGCTCTAAGGTACTTGAAGATGACCTGCTCCATAAACTTCTCCATTAGATCCCAGTCTTCCACCATCCCATGACGGATCGGCCACTAAACAGAACATGAGAGCAGAGGAGAACCTGAGAACCAAGGAGAACCTGAGACCACATGATGAAAAAATAGCACGATTCTTTAACCTTTGTTGCATAGTTGGGTTTGTCTACAGCCTCGTCTCCAACATAGAAGTCCAGGTCATCGACTCCTCCTACAAGTCTCCTCTGGGCCTGTTCTCCTATGCTGGCCGACTCTTTGATGGCGATGCCTGGTCCCACATACACACACGTAAACATACATGACAGATATGACATGGGAGCATTACGTGTGTAACTGCGTGGTTCTTACATGACGGCATGATGAATTGCGGCTCTGTGTTTCCAGCGTAGCCAATCTTGGTGTACCTGCCATCAGTAAACAGATTGAGCCAATCACAGCCACTTGTCTAAAATGGGGAGGGTTTGTTTACAGAGGAGCGTCCAAGACCCGAGGTCTGTCCTATGAGGCAGGATTTATGGTTATCAGGTAACTTCAGGTTACACACAGACACACACAGACACACTCACACAGGCCTGCTCTCTCTCTACATACATGATGATAAATACACATGACATCACAGTGTGTCCTCACCCGGTCCCACAGTCTATGACGCAGGGAGGAAGCTGCAGAGACATGTTGAGGTTCAGATCTGTTGTTGTGACCAGATCAGTGCAGAGAGACAGAGAGAGAGAGACAGAGAGACAGAGACACAGAGAGAGAGAGAGAGAAAAAGACAGACATAGAAATAGACAGTCTATTTCTATGTCTCTCCACCCCACCCCTTTCTCTTTTGGAGCAGTTCCGGGTCGGAGGGAACGATGAAGAAAATAGAATCTGATCTGAGACTTCCCCGGTAACCAGTGTGTGTGTGTGTGTGTGTGTGTGTGTGTGTGTGTG